ATCTTTCTTATATATCGCATCTAGTAAAAAATGCATTTTTAAGCAGATTTTGTTCTATAAAAGAATTCGATATATCTAGTCATTTTTGATATACAGAGTGGGACACTCAAAACAGTTACATCCTGTTTTTCGGCATTAGTCATTGGATTTTTGAAAAATGCTGAAACAGGTCGATTTTTATTTAAAATTGAACACATTTTTACAATATAGACATCTGTCATGTGTCAACCCCTTCCCTTCCATTTCTCCAACCCCTTAATTTTAATTAAGGACTGTACTATGTACGGCACATCATTAAAAGGTAATTTTATGGGGAAGTCAGAAATATGATTGCGATATTTTTAATTTTAGCGCCCTCTATCGGAATAAAACAACGTGTAACGTATTATAAAGTGTGACACTTCATTTGAAAGCTAATTTATTTTATAATTCAATGCACCACATAACATTAATATAAATATTTCCATATTGCACATGCAACAAAATAAAGTTAGCAATAATGTTTAAAATAATGCATGACTAATTTTGAAACTATTGCAATATGGAGGATATTTATATTAATATTATGTGGTGCATTGAATTAGTAATTACATTTGCTTTCAAATAAGGTGTCACTTTATAGTACGTACAGTTTTTATCCCGACAGAGGGCGGTACAATTAAAAGTATCGCAATGAACAGTCATTTTTCTAAATTACCCATAAAATTACCTTTTTAATGATCTATTACAGCAGTGTCACACTCTATAATACGTAGTAGTTTTTTATCCCGCTAGAGGGCGATAAAATTTAAGTAACGCAATGTATAGAAATATTTCTGAATACCCCATTAAATTACCTTTTCAATGATGTGCCATACATGGTACATTACCTATTTAAAATTGAGGTGTTGGAGAAGTGCAAGGGAGGGGGTTGACACATGACAGATGTCTGCATTGTAAAAATATTTTTAATTTGGAATAAAAATCGACCTATTTTGGCATTTTCTTAAATTCCAATTATTAATGCTGAAAAACAGGATGAAACTGTTTTGAGTGACCACTCTGTATATCAAAAATGGCTAGATTTATCGAATTAGTTCGTAGAACAAAATCTGCTTAAAAATGCATTTTTTACAAGATGCGCTACATAAAAAAGATCCTCCCATCGAAAAAAAATTATTGAGCGCAGCGCCATCTACATATTGAACTATTTAAAACCAATTTATATCTAAAACTGAAACTCTCTTGGTGCTCTGTAAACTGGCTTTTACAAAATTAAAATATCTCTATTACTTACCAAAATATCCAGCCTGGGAGATTTTAGAGGTACACCCTGTATACTTGAGTCATTCTATACAGATTAAAAAAAATAGTATGGACCTGGTACGGCGCCATATTCATGGTTCTCTTACGTCCACTTAACCCCGCTCACCGATGTCATTCTTAGAATACATGTTTAAATGAATATAGCATCTCCTTTAATATCCTACCTGCATAAACTCAATCAAACCTTACATTTAAAGATATTTTTCGCCGCATGAAGTAACATGAAAGTTTATAACATATTATGCTATTTAGAAGTTTATATACGTATATGGACGTCTAAATAATATAATCTAAGATAAACGTTCATGTTGGTTCATGCTGCGAAAAATACCTTACAAATTATATGTCGAGGTAGGAAACGTCAAACGACGACATTAAAGTGTCAACGGTTCTCTCTAGCAGCTTTGAAAGTTTACGCCCCTATAATTATTGGAGTAAACACAACGACATCCTGCAGGGAATATCGCTGAAAAATGGAGCGCATCAACGCAGCAAAAGCTGGAAATTTAATTATATGATGCATTTTTATTACCTGAAGGTATTGTGCTGTATCAACGAGATAATAATCGATGAAAGCGGCGTTGAACTTTCAGCTGATATTTTCATTTTTATAATGTAATGGCAGGACTTATTTGCCTTTTTGATGAATAGAAAAGTTAAATAAAAAGTTTTTTTTTTATTTATTTTTTTTTGTTTACGAGCAAACCAATTTAAATTACAATTTTAAAATCTCACATTTATGTTGCTCTAGCACAATCAAAGATATTGTATATTATATTATATATGGACTAATAATATTTAAAACAATAAAAGTTAAAAAAAAATGTTAAAACAGTAACATTAAAACTCGCCAGATCTACGTGATAGTATAAAGTGTGTGCACTTTAGCAGATAATAAAATTTGGGTGATAAGAATCAAGATAAAAGGTTCTAAAGGTACTCAAATATTTCAGGTAAAACCGTTATATTATGAAATCTGGATAAAAAATCAAATGGTTGGCACTTTTCGTAGGGAGTTACGTATGCTAAACCCTTTCAATTATCTGCATTTTATATAAAACTTTTCTAATCATTTCTAAGAAATTAATAAAAGTTAGTACATGATCCAAAACCGAGCACAAAACCCACTACACACTTAATAAATATTATATAAAATTAACCATATACGAGGGAGGTAAAAAATATGAATTAAGGTCAAGATCTTTTATTTTTAAAAAAAGAAAAAATGTTACTTAAAAAACTTTTAAGGTTTTATATGTTCTTTACTTTTGAGCTACACACTATATCGTCGTCGAAGAAACAATACCGCCTAAGTCTCAAGTGGTAAATTCTTCAGGAGACAATAAAAACTTCTTCAAAACCAGTCAACAAAACCATGTGATTTTATAAAAAAAAACTATCTTCGGACTTGGAAATTTTTGGTCTCTCCACGTGTAGTGGTAGAGCATTTCTTAGAAGACAGTCTATTTTCTTTATCTGACGTCTAGGGAAAAAAACAAACTCCGGTAAGTGACTATTACAATTATTATCGATATGTATGTACAAAATTAATTTAAACTTCTATATAAACAAATAATATGCATATGCACCGTTTTCTGCTGGTTATTATTTATTTACACCTATGTCGTATGTTGAATCTCAAGTAACGTGACGTTTGACGTTAAGCTACTAGATGGGGGCTCTCCGAGGTATAATAAAGGAACTGTCTTACTTGTGGTTAAGTGAACTTAACTAAGCACCCTTGATATTCAATTAGGCAGCTTTCTCTTGGTATCGGGCCCGCACAAATGTCTATCTTACTCCCTAAAGTCCAAAAACATTGATTAAAGGTCTAATTAAAGAGAAATATTGTTTTTAATATATTTTGGGGGAATTTTTTTTCTTATGTTGGTAATTGTTGATTTTTGCTTCGATTGGTCAACCTGTCGTTTTGCATTGAGCTTATGGCATTCAAAATGGCGGACGGCTTCCTGTGCTGCTGGCGGTTGCGGTTTTTTGGCTTTTTTTCCGAAAAATATCTGGTAAATTGATTGTTTTACTTCTTAATACAGTGTAGTGATGTGTCTGCTATATTTGTGTGTTAAATTTGCGTTTCTAAAGTTCCGCTTTTCGTGTTTTTTAGGCCTTTTTGTGATTTTGGGGCCCTCGATCGTCGTCCTGGAGCTTCGTGTGGCTGTTCCGTAGGTATTTGCGTCTGTATTTCGTTGCCCAATAAAGTTTCGAGCGTTTTTTGTGGTTTTTTTTCTCGCGCGTACGGGGGCCCTACCGCTGCTATAAAAATGACTTCGTACTTACTGGGGCTATCTAATTGTCCGAACTCTTTTGCTAGCATGCAAACGGTGACGTGGAGAAGCCCTATTCAATATGGAGAAAGTGGAGAAAAACTTGCACACAGTCTTAAGTATTCCGCTAATATAAGCGGTTCCGCAGAATGTAAATTGGAATGAACGAAGGAAGGAACGCAAACGAAGAAAGGAGGTCCTTGATGGTATGTGACCTCTTAGTGACTAATTTAATAAATTCACACTTTTAGCCCGATACTATCACTGGGTGTACTAATCACAAAGATCACTAACAATATATCGGACTGAAGGAATCTGTCGTTTTTGCCCAAGGAGAAATCGTAGAAAATGCTAGAGGAAATCTTGGCACATGCCACAATCAGAATCCAAGCAAAAACTGGGCCAGGAAGGAAGTTATATAAAATGGCCAACAAAAGTCAACGTCTTAGCAAGAAGGCCCTGACTACAAAAGGGTAATAGGATAATTATTTATGGTATTTATAAATTAAGAAAAATCTGATAACTGAAGGAGTCAAAATAGACATGTAAACAATAACAATCAAAATAAAGCTTTTTAATGAGATAGGTTAGGTTAGGTTAGGTTAGGTTAGGTTTACTTACATTATACATTATTTATTGAAGGTACTAATTACTATTGAATATAATCCAGGTGAGATTATATTTTATTACAAAATATTATTTTATATGTTACTACAAAATATGTTTAATAAAAACGGATATTTTATGAATTTATTTAATGGATTTATTTTATGGATTTATATACCATTTATACTCATAAATCTAAACGTAACTAAAGAGATTAGCATAGGTTATAGTAGAAGAGGTATATAATAGGATAGATTAGTAATTAGAGTAGCTTAATGTAAGTTAGAATACAGTAGAAGTAGAATAGTGTACATAGTTAAGCGTAGAATAGATTAGAAGTAGAATAGTGTAAATAGTTAAGCGTAGCATAGTAATAGAATAGATTAGACTAATTTAGGATAGGGCAGGATAGTACATAGAATAATTAAGATTAGTTTAGAATAGTTTACGATAGTTCAAAATAGAATATAACCTAGTTTAGATTAGTTTAAAATAGTTTAGAATAATTTACAATAGGGTAAGCTAGGAAATGGAATAGGTTAGAATAGTTTAGAGTAGTTTAAGCTATGGTAATTTAGACTAGTCTGGGTTTAGATAGAATAAAACCCGTAACAAGCTTATTCCATACCAAAATTTGTTTTTACAAAGAATTTTTCATCGCGATATCTCATTGCTTCTAAGTTAACCACAGTGGGATCTCCTACTGCCTTTCCAGGTCTTCTCGAATCGTAAATTTGGAAATCCTTGGAAAAATCTTTGAAAAATGTGGGTTGCAGAAAAAAACTTTTATATGGCTTGGATTTAGACCTTACTTCTTTCGTTAGGTCAGAATACTGTCCTAGAAGAGATATGTCCTTGTTTCTTAGCTTGGCATCAATGGAGCTGTGAACTGAGTCACATTTCATTTGAGTGTGACCTTTGGTTAAAACTTTTTGTTCAATTGTGACTATATACTCTTGACTCATAATAGGTAGAACATTGGATGAAACGGTATTTCTGTTTTGATAGTAACACCCATCAGACCAAAGTATAATGCATAATCTCCTTTGTTCCAGAATTTTTAATAATGTATCAATTATAGATGACGCGAATGTTAAGGAGGAAAGGTCAGAAGTTGATTCGTCAAACTAATAGCATAAAAAATCATGATTTTGAACGTTGTATGTAGTAAAATTAAGTACATTTAGTTTTTTCCTGTAACAAAAAGCTTTTGTAAGAGGAGCTAATTTGACTGCTTGTAAATCTTGAGTAAATGCATGAACTTTTTTGCTTTCTTCTTATTTTCTGCTTTCTCTTTTCTTGCTCTTTCTTTCTCTTCAGTATGCTTTAACTATTCATGTTCAGGCACATTTCCGACCTTGTAGGAACAGCATAAGTCGCATTAATCATTCCTTGGAGTAAATAATAAAATATTCTCTTGCTTAAAAATTAATTCAAATTAAAATCCACTGATAGATTTAAGATTTTATTGTAGAAACTTTTCCAAGGTAGGTTGTAGAGTTGAGCCATTGAAGTTCCAATTGGTTCCAACTGTTTCTTAGTGGACGACTGTCGGCAATAGTGGGAAGGCATTTTGGATAGGAGATTAAAAAATTGCTTTACGAAATCCCTACCCTTTTTTCCTACCTGACGAAACCCTTACAGAATATGAATGAGTCACTATAGCTAAAGGAGCTACGCCATCAGTTTTTGCTTCGTGATCAAGCCAGTAGCGCACAGTCTATTTCTTGATACCAAATGTATTAGGAAACGTTAACATGGAAACTTTTTTCCAAACTCCATCGATAGTGAGGTATTAGTTCAAATACGCTTCTCTTCTAGACTCTTCTTGATAAGTTTTGCGACGTTTTACTGCATTTTTTTCAGCAGAGTTAAAAATAAACGTTCTTCTTTGGTCTCAGTTCATAGTTTTCCCAAAATTAATTAAACAAATGTAGTTTTAATTCTTCTGTTATCTGACTGCATGCCCTTTGTTTCGATTTTCGCATAATGCAGAGTTACAAGGAACTCCCATTTTAAGTTTTTCTGATCCTAGGACTATTAGACTGGTCAGATAAAAAATGATAAATAATAAGGTTAAACGTTTTTTTAAGTAACATTTGTCTCTTTCTTTACATTTTTTTAGATCCTTTGTATATAGTTTAAATTTTTTAATATTTATCAAGTTTATAGTGGGTTTAGGTTATTACTAACTTTTATTAGGAAAATATTTTCTGAGAAATTAACAATAAAAAGTTTTCTATAAAGTGCAGACATTTCTCGACGTAACCCAAAAGTTATTATCTAGTAAAATATGCAAACATAAAAAAAATTAACCTTCCTTTATAGTATAACGTAAAGTCTGGCGTTTGCTGGCTCTCACGCCATATTGCTTAATCTATAAAAAGGCAAATAAAATATTTGGAGTTGCCTAGTTGAAAGAGTTTGAACGCAAAGATTTATTTTTAATAGATGTTTAGAAAAATTGCATCTACCGTTAATAATATTAAACAGCAAAGCAATGTATCTCTGTTTTCCAAGGAGGGTACGTTCAAAAATTGTTTCATTAAGTCACATTTACAATAAATACCTAATGTAAGGGCTATATATCTAAGAAAAAATATGTTGAACGCTGTCTATTTTGGTACTATATGCACTGATCTGTATTATTTTACTGGATAGGATATAGCCCCCTAAAAACGTTCCAAAAAATTGGCCGATTTGGGCAAATAATATGGCGGACCGGATGTTATTTAACGTAACCTCTATTTTCATTTGTCATCACATTTGTCATTAAATTGTGTCAACAAGCTACGATGAGATGTTTTTATTGTGGAAAACAAAGTAAAAAGAGTACGAAATAAACAATAAACGTTCATTCCTGAAGACACAATATGCTTCACGTTTCCATTTTTATACTTTCTTTCATAAAAAATCAAATCATGGGTGACATTTTCCGAAAGACATCGCCCGTAAAAAGGAATGGAAAAAGAATAAGAAGAAAAACTAATCAAATTATAGGTTAGGTATGTCAAATTATTCCAAATTTCAGTTCTGTGAACCCACCATAATTTGCCCAAATCGACCAGCATTGTTGCACTTCCGGTCTCCTTGGTGGAACGATGTTTTAGTATGTTAAATATAGCCTATATTCTATCCAGATCAGTGACTATATGTCATACAGGGCTCAAATGTGTGAAATAATGAGTGTAAGTAATGAAACAACGAAAATATTAAAAAAAACATTTCAATCAAAAATGTTTTGTAATTCATTTTAAATTTTGTGGTGATATTGCCAACCTAAGAAAAAAAACAAAGCCCTCTATGTAACCAATTTTGTTGTTTATTTAGGCCCTAATTTTAGATCAAAATGGCTATCTCCTACCATGTACGTCTGACTCCATTTTTAAGCCATTCTCAGACAACCTTTAAGTCATTGTCTTTCTTTTGTCTTTTCTATGCTTTCAAGTGTAATTCCGTCTTCGTCATCCTCTGGCTTGATAGAGGTCGCCTAAAGACTTACTTCTTTAACCAGCTTCTCTCGTTCTTCAAGCCATATACATTACCAGCATTGTCGTTCTAAACACGGTCGCCTGAAAATAATGTCTGCGTTGCTATGGAGACGTCCTCTTCGACGCACTATCTTGAAGTTGTATTGTTGCAGTCTTTCTATCCATCTAGCAACTTGTCCTTTAGGTTTTTTAAAATTCATTAGCCACTGTAAGGCGTATGTTCACCTCTAATGATAAAACTTCTGTTAAAAAGGTAAGTGTGGAAGTGTTCAAGGGCTTTGACAATAGCTAAAAGTTCTTTTCTTGTGACGCAATCATTCTTCTCAGCTTTTCCTAAGGTCTTACTAAAATACGCAATTACTTTATCTTCTTCTTCCGGTTCTTTGGATAGCACGGCGCCCACGCCTTGTTGGGATGCGTCGCAGTCTAAAATAAAATGTCTTTTTTTTTTCCAAGGATACCCTAGAATGGGTACCGTTCTCAATCGTTTTTTTAACTCGGCGAAGGCATTTTGACAATCCAGCGTCCAGTCAAGGGTTTAGCAATTTGACCAAAGTCTTTGGCGAATTTTCGGTAATATGAGCCGAGTCCAAGCAAACTTCTAATTTCTCTTTTGTATCTTGGTTTCGGCCAATCTCTGACAGCTGCAATTTTCTCCGGGTCAGTTTTAATTCCTTTTGCGGAAAGGATGTGTCTCAAATAATAGGCTTCCGACTGGAACAGTAAACATTTATTGTGATTAAGCCTTAGATTGGCATTTCTTAATCTGTCAAATACTTTGCTCAAATTAGTAGATGTTCATCAAAAGTTTTTGACATGATCATTATGTCATCGAGATATAGTAGACAAGTTTTCCAGGTTAATCCCTTCGAAACCATTTCCATTAGACGTTCAAAGGTAGTTGGGAAATTATTTTTAGGTTTTTTTACTAAAGCCCTAGATGGTGTAATGATAACCACCACTGATAAGGAAATAAAGAAATGGATAAAAACATTAATACAAAATTTCGCAAAGATTATGTTTTAAATTTTTTTGAACGAATTTTTTCAATTTTTTCAATGGCCAAAATAAAAACTTGTATATAATTTTCAGAAATTTTTGGAGACCTTTATTAAATAAAAAGTTTCTCATAATTATCATAATTTTCAGAAGATACAAGAAAGTACTTTATATTTTCATAAAATGTTTTCTTTTCAGGGAGCACTAATATTGATTTAATTTTGTCAAGGAGGATACAACGCATTTATTTTTTTATTTAATGAGTAAAGTTTAAAATATATATAGTTTGTATTAGGTATTACATAATATTATTATAACTTACTTGAAGACGGATCAAGTAAAGAATTGAATAAAATAGGAATTGAATCTAGCTTTGAATTCTTCTTTCCAAAAAACTAATTTATAAAATATATCCAATACATTTTAGTGTTTTTATTAATTCTATCAATTTCAACCGTTCCTTATTCTAGGTTTTGAATCTAAATTTCTATTGCATTAAAATTTAATGAAAATCTGCTAAAAAAAATTGGTAATAATATTTATTCTACAATATATTTGTACCGCCTGTTTTTTTTAATGACTCACCTTTTAAACAACGTCGAACTTATCCAAATGTATGTTTTAGGGCAAAAAAAACATTAAGTAGTAATTTTTAGACTTATAACTGATAAAATTCGTTAAAAAACCATACTAAAAACTCTAAAAACTTTAATAATATGGCCTGGAAATTTAAAAACACACAAAATATACAAACAAAACTAACAATTCGCAAGTACTTGTCGACAGTTGTGACTAAATTTTGGCACTGCTATTTAAAGGCTGAGTTCGGTTTGGCGTTCGCTGTACTCAGAGTGCACTCGGTATGCCTCGATTGTAGTCGCCTTGGCACTCAGAGCGTACTCTTTTGTGTTCGGCTTGCCACAGATCACGTACTCAGAGCGCACTCACTTTTCCCCGAGTTGGCCGATGGAGATCAGCAGGTATCTGTAGAAATGTCAAATGTCAATTTTCTGATCGGTGATTAATCAGTTTTACAAGTAATATTTCTTGTTTGTTTTTGTTATAACTATTTTCTATTTGATTAAAATTATTTTTTTACAGTCCATAGATACACACAAAAGTGTATTCAAGTGCAAACTATCACTAGTGTCATATGTCATTCCCCTTGTGTTCGTCTTGAGATTCTAAAAACAGTGAACTCTGTCTATGACGTCACGCACTCCGTGCGCGCTCTGTGCGATCCGTCGAGTTCCAATCCGAACTTACCTAAAGTAAACAAATCACATCAAATACTTAGGAGAAATTAAAGGAAAAAAGGGCGGATACTGGCTTTAAACAAGTCCACACCGTTAGAAGCTTATCTATATTTCATTTGCTTATTTGAGTATAAGACAAATCATAACAATACATTATTATTATTATGGGGGGTAGAAAACTCCATAATTAATATTCTCCATATATGTCTCTTTCTCATC